TTATACATTTTAACCAGTGTATTCGGGTGTTGGTAGTCCACATTCATAAGATAATAGTTTCTAAAAGATGTGACATGATGACCCGATCACTTACTTTCATGTCTTGCTCACCAGCCTTCGGGATGACGTACATCAACTAACGTTAAACAGTCGTTAAAAGTTCAAGGCATTATTACTAAAAGATGTGACATGTGGACATTAATGCACGACATGATGACCCGATCACTTATATTCATGTCTTGCTCACCAGCCTTCGGGATGACGTACATCAACTAACGTTAAACAGTCGTTAAAAGTTCAAGGCATTATTACTAAAAGATGTGACATGTGGACATTAATGCACGACATGATGACCCGATCACTTACTTTCATGTCTTGCTCACCAGCCTTCGGGATGACGTACATCAACTAACGTTAAACAGTCGTTAAAAGTTCAAGGCATTATTACTAAAAGATGTGACATGTGGACATTAATGCACGACATGATGACCCGATCACTTATATTCATGTCTTGCTCACCAGCCTTCGGGATGACGTACATCAACTAACGTTAAACAGTCGTTAAAAGTTCAAGGCATTATTTCGAAATGAGATTATACAAAACTTTCAAGGTTTGTTTGTGTGTTTATTTGGTTTAAACTACACGAACAAGTGAGGCGACAAACAACATCTGGTCATAAAACTGTTGTAATCACAGAAAACAGGTGTTCACCCTCCGCTTGACACAGGTATCGCTCGAAGTGTACACGTGCTGGAAAACCGGAAGAACATTCATTGTTGAGGACAGGTGGTGGACGTTCCTCGTCTGTTTTTCTTCTTCTTATGTATACATAGATGTATTTATGGTGACCTTTTAAAACTAGCTACAGACGAGTTCTACACCTTGTAAGTATACATACATATATTTGTGGTGATCTTTAAAAACTAGCTCCAGACGAGTTCTACACCCTGTAAGTATACATACATATATTTGTGGTGATCTTTAAAAACTAGCTCCAGACGAGTACTACACCCTGTAAGTATACAAAGTCCAGCTTCTAGTACATTAGATTAAGGGGACGACGATATTTCTGGGGGAACAGCTCCCCTCGTTATTGTCGGCCGAGTTGTAAACTAAGAAAATTATTTCTTTATCTAACTGTGATTCGTACATTTTGTGTTGACGTTCTTGTACTTTTTATTACGTATGTAAAACAGTATCTAACAATATTCATTATTACATACCCAACAAGATTTAGTTTGTTTCAACAGTATCTAACAATATTTATTATTACATGCCCAACAAGATTTAGTTTGTTTCAACAGTATCTAACAATATTTATTATTACATGCCCAACAAGATTTAGTTTGTTTCAACCATTAGTCTGCGATGTTTCCGACCGAGCCCTAAATATATTAATAATTGCGTTCAACTTTGTGTATAGAGAGATTACTGATAGCGAATTTATCAAGTTGAATCTGTTTTAACACAAATCGTGCATCATTTGGAATTAAGTTAGATAAATACCTTAAATACGTGTGGGGGGGGGTGCCTCATCACATTTCGCATGAAGTAATGATTTTTACATTTGAAATACTCAAACGCAAATACTAGTACTAAAAGTAAAACTGAAGCAAAAACACCTTTGGAAATGATAAACTACTTGAAGAAAAAAACAGCTTTGCATCAGGTATGATAGAATTATTGAAGATATCGGGTTCTTCTGTCCAGAAGTGTTGGATGATTGATTATATATATATAGAAGAAGGATTACGAGGATTATATGTGCGCCTGGCGGACTGTTTGTAATGGAACAGTCCTTCTCTGGCCTGAATATCTGTCACGTGCGCGTATTACCAACAGGCGTCGTATTTGGAACCGGAACCAGTAAATGATTCAGCATGTCTGCTAATAAGGGTGGGGTGCGTTCCGGGGTTTGATGAATTCCGTCAGTCGATATATTTAGTACTCACAAGTTTATAATAACTTTCTTTTTGACGTGGAAGTTTTGTAGTTTACGACAAACCATGCTATTCATGTAGTTTACGACAAACCATGTTATTCATGGCGTTCTCTGAACTCTAATTGTAATATACACGAGTTTGTTCAGAAAAACAACATGTAATTAAACAATGTTACAATAAAAATAACAAACCACGTGAGTTCATAACCTTTGTACTATCGTGTGTCTAACACATTTTGGGGTGAAGGATGTTACTTGGGGGAGAGGAGTGAAAATAGACAGATTTACCCAACATAGCTACCACGACATGCCGAATCACGGGCTCGAACCCCTCACAGGGTCATTTTTCACGTCTTTTATATATACGTCAAGTTTATATTCAGCAGTAAGTTTACAAACCTAAAATCCGGAGTTCGATACCCATTGTGGCTTTGTTTTAAAAACAAGCAAACAATAGTTATGCATTTCCCAGTTTTAAGCATAAAAACGTGGTGAAGGAAATCATTTTAAAAAATTAGTATCGGAAATGACGAATATACTAAAGTCTTGATAACTAACCGGAAATGACGAATATACTAAAGTCTTGTTAACTACCCGGAAATGACGAATATACTAAAGTCTTGTTAACTACCCGGAAATGACGAATATACTAAAGTCTTGTTAACTACCCGGAAATGACGAATATACTAAAGTCTTGATAACTAACCGGAAATGACGAATATACTAAAGTCTTGATAACTGACCGGAAATGACGAATAAACTAGTCTTGATAACTAACCAGAAATGACAAATATACTAAAGTCTTGATAACTACCCGGAAATGACGAATATACTAAAGTCTTGATAACTAACCGGAAATGACGAATATACTAAAGTCTTCATAACTAACCGGAAAGGTCGTGTTTTGTGCTTTTCCTTTGTGAGAACTTCGAATTTCATGATCTCTTTTTACCATCAGATACTAGTGTAAGTTCTAAGTTATTTTGACAGTTTTACTTTGCTCTAGGTTAATTACCATAACATATAAGCTTTCTTAAAGTATAACACGTTAAAGAAAGCCAATAGAACGTCCTTTCTACCGCCCACCCTTTCTAAATCTGTCAGTGAAACACATTTTATAACACAGAGTATAAAGTTTTATAGTGATTTGACTCTCGTACTGTGACAACAATAGATAAGAAACCGTATCTGAGAGATACAGATCAACAAGTGAATTGTTTTATCGTCACTGTTTAATGGGGTAATTTCCCTCTTTTCAAGCTGTCAGTTATGTTACCAGTGGCTTTGTTAGGCCACCTGATAGTGAATAATACGTTACACGTGACAGAATATTTTTTTTACATGAAGTATCTGATATAATGTTAAATTATTAATCTGATACTGAAGGCGTCAGTTTCTGAATGTGTCACGTATCAAGTACGTTACAAAGTAGTAAGTTTATGTATACACAATGTGTCATATCTATTCATAACAAACGATCTCCTCTCCATGGGTTCTTAGAATTCATGGAATACTTGTTGATAAACTATCATTCAGTGGATATTACTCGAACACTTCCTTCTAATATCAGTTGAAGTGAGTTCAAACTTCAGGACAGGATGGCAAAAATGTAAACTCTCACAAGGACAGTGGGTGAGTCAAACAATATAAACTCTCACAAGGACAGTGGGTGAGTCCAACAATGTAAACTCTCAAAACGACAGAGGACGAGTCCAACAATATAAACTCTCACAAGGACAGTGGGTGAGTCCAACAATGTAAACTCTGAAAAGGACAGAGGACGAGTCCAACAATATAAACTCTCACAAGGACAGTGGGTGAGTCCAACAATGTAAACTCTGAAAAGGACAGAGGACGAGTCCAA